CATATGGTTTCCTGTACCCTTTAGTGGTCAATCTCACCATGACAGCCCCATGTTCTGTACTGGTGCACTATGTTAGATGATGCTACAATTGTGGATGTTTAAACAGTTTTCCACCTAGATGTATGTTGGCTCTTGACTCCTAAGAAGCGCATCTGCCCTTTGTCAACAATCTCCAAGGTGGCTTGAATTCAGAATTGTCCTTCTCTTAAAGTTTTTGCCAACTGAATCTAAAGGACCAAGTTTGTACTACTATTTAATCCATAGCTGGTGGTAGAAGAGATAGATTCATATTTTGCCACATAAATATAACACATTTGACTGGAATTCTAACTCATCTCCCTGATTTCTCATTCCAAGCTGTTACCTTTGTACCACCTGCATTAATTCTTTAGAAATTGCTTTATTTACATTTCAGATATGAAACCAAACAGATATGGGCTTTCAAGAGAAGCTGAACAAGATGTGAATTCCTGAAAAGGATAAGTAAGAACTTTCTGGGTTATGACACTCTTCATCTCTATGTGAACATAAAACTCGCACAAGTAACCTGCAGGTCTTTCTGGTACGATTGCATTCACAAGAGTTTGCACCTGACCTTTTTGGTGTGATCTCGTGTGAGTGGCTAAACCAGTGGTTCTCAACCTTTTTTTACCCATGGACCCCTTTCCCCTTCTTTTTATCTTGGTGGACCCCTTCATAGCTATTGGACATAAGAACAATTTTCTATTCTTCACTAATATAAATTTTAAGGTTTTAATTATCAAAGAAATAGTATACGATTAAGCTTTATTTTTAAATGAAAACTAATTTAATACAAATAAAATATTCTACTATAATTATAATAATAATTATTATTACTATTTTTAATTAACACAACAATTGTGTTTTGCCTGTGGACCCCCGGAAATATTACATGGACCCCTAGGGTCCATGTAGACCCCGGTTGAGAACCACTGGGCTAAACCATCCATTGAGAGGAGAACTTTTCCACAAATGTTGCAAGTGTGTTGGTTTCCTAATACCTTGAGGACAGATCCTATTTCTCCTTTCCTAATGGAGCACTTTTTGTTGGAATGCTCATTTCTCTTCTGCTCAAAATTATTGCAGCATTCCCTAATCAACCTTCTCCAACCAGATATATCTCCAGCAACAGTTTCCCAATCTTCAACATTAATGCCAAGAGTCTTTAGGTTGCATTTAACTACAAACTTGAAAAGTTTTTTGAAACACCTTCATATACATATTTACATCCAAACAGAAATATTTTTATATAGATTTTTTAATCTGATATTTTTTCTTATTACTATTTTCCCTTCTGAGTTTGACATGGACACAAGGTCATCCATATATTATATATTGTTAAGATTATGACCACTGAGAAAAGCTATTTATTAGCCTTATCCTGTCATGTTTCAAAAATTCTCAAACAAGTACTACAATTTAAATATCTGAGAAGTGTTTTAATAGGAGACAGTCATAATTGATTTAACAAGACAACCTTGCTAACCATTACACCATGTTGAGATGCTCAAAGTGTAACTTACATGTTGCACAAGGCCAAACATATGGAGCACCTAGTGAGGATTGGACTCACTATTCAGTTGTATTTCATCTAGGAAGAAAAGCTTGCTGACTATTACATCATGTCGAGGTGGCCAAAAGGGGATTTTCTAAGCGAAATTTAGAACTGGCACAAGGCTAAATATATGGCACCCAGTGAGGATTGAACTCACTATTTAGTTGGATTTGATCTTGCAAGAAAAGCTTGCTGACCATTACATCACATCAAGATGCCCAAATGATTTTATAAGCATAGCTTAGATGTGGCACAAGGCTGAAAGTTTTGAGGACAGTGAGGATTGAACTCATTATTCAGTCATAATTGATCAAGCGAGACAAGCTTGTTAACCATTACACCACATCGAGATGCCCGAATGATTTTCTAAGCATAGCTTAGATGTGGCACAAGGCTGAAAGTTTTGAGGACACAGTGATGATCGAACTCACTATTCAGTCATAATTGATCTAGAGAGACAAGCTTACTAACCATTACTCCACATTGAAGTGCCTAATACAGTCATATGTGTGAGGTTGTATTTGTGGATGACTGTATGTGTAAATGTTTGTATACTTTTGTTCCCCTCCCTCCAATCATAGTGTACATTTGTCTGCACAAAATGGTCAAAGTGGATGACCGGCACCAGCAACAAGGATTGTTCAAGCATAAAAGTATTTTTTCATTTCAAACTTTTCTCCTTGATGACTGACTCATCTCAACCAGAAATATCAATGACTTGTTTGACTGATTCTGAATAAATATTGCCACCAAATAATTCTTTCTTCAGACAGACAATATGGAACACAGAATTACACTTATGATCAAAATAATTTTCTATCTCTCTCTCTCACTCTCTGCATTTCTCATTATTAAAAATGATATATATGTCGATAGATAGATATGAACTGACTGAGATATATAGGCAGATATATGGATATGAACAGATAGGGATAGATAGATAGATAGATAAAAACAAACTGAGATAGATAAATAGACAGAAGCAGATAGATGGATATGAACAAACATATAGATAGAGAGATGGATATGAACAGACTGAGATAGATAGACAGATAGATGGATATAAACAGACTGACAGAGATAGATCTGAACAGATGTAGACAGATATGAATAGACTGAAATAGAGAGAAAGATAGATAGATGCATATGAACAGACTGATAGATAGATGCATACATATATACATAGATAGATATGACAGACCAAGATAGAGAGATAGATACATAAATATGAGAAATAGAGAGAGAGGTACATAGATATATATGAACAGACTGCGATAGATAGATACATACATACATAAATAGATAGATATGAACAGACTGAGATAGATGGATATGAACAGCCTCAGACAGAAAGATAGATATGAACAGATTGTGATGGATACATATGAACAGAGTGAGACAGACAGACAGATGGATATAAACAGGTTGAGAGAGATGGATAGATATGAACAGACTGAGATGCAAAGATAGATGGATATGAGCAGAGTGATAGATATATGGATATGAACAGACTGAGATATATGGATATGAACAGACTGAGATATATGGATATGAACATAGATACATACATACATACACAGATGGATATGAATAGATAGATTGATAGATAGATATGACAGAGATAGATAGATAGATAGATACATAGATACATAGATGGATATGAACAGACTGAGATAGATAGATAAATAGGAATAGACTGGTAGAGAGATAGACAAGCACAGACTGAGATAGAGAAGAGCAGAGATAGATACATAGATAGGTACAGACTGAGATATATATATAGATAAATAAGAACAGACTGAATTAGATATGAACTGAGCAATATAGATAGATAGATATGAACTGACTGAGATAGATAGATAGATATATAAAAACAGACTTAGATAAATAGATAGAAACAGACTTAGATATGAATAGACTGACAACAGACTAGATAGAGAGATAGATTGAAACAAACTGAGATCATTATTTACAATATTCAAACTCTTATCTTCCTCTTCATTGCCATATTCACAACATTTCGGCCATTGCACGCTCCGGCCTTCTTCAGGTGATTCGAATGTTGAACTGAACCATTTATTTCGTCCACCAGGGTAGATTGTTCTAGTTTCACATGCCATGTCTCTTCTGGATGTCTCCGTTATCTTCTTTTAACTCAACTTGCCAAGTTTATAAAGTAGAAACAGGCATCCCCTTAAGGTAAGCCTGCAAGAACAGTGTAAAGTGAAAACACGAGGGGAAATAGGGAAATCAGGCATAGCTGACCACATATGGAGGGAAAAGGGAGATCACTGTCTTTGTGGGATGAGGTTGAAATAATAGAGAACTGGTAAAAAATAGTTGCTCAGACATTAGGTTTATAAATCCTAAAAATTCATATACATTTTTTCTCAAGGATCATGATCCAGTGGATAAAGGTGTTGGTTAGATCTAGTGACTAGACCCGAAGAGTCGTGAGTTGAATACCATACTACAGTGAACCATAAAACTTGGAGAGTTGAGTTAAAGAGAAATAACTGAGACATCTGGAAGAGGCATGGCACATGGAACTAGAACAATCTATCCCGGTGGACAAAATAAAGGGTTTGGTTCAAAATTCCAATCACCTGCAGAAGGCCGGAGTGTACAATGCCTGAAACATTGTGAATATGGCAATGAAGATGAGGATAACAGTCTGAATAATGTAAATAATTTAAATAAACAAAATATCTCATCACAGAGATAGAGACAAACTGAGACCAACAGACAAATAGATAGATAAATAGGTAGAGAGAGATATAGGTAGGTAGATAGATAGAAACAGACTGAGACAGATATGAACTGACTGAAATAGATAGATATGAACAGACATAAATAGACAGGTAGATAGATATGAACAGACTGAGAGAGATAAATAGATATGAACAGACTGGGATAAACAACTGAACATATAAACCTAAACCAGATCAACAAAAATCATCTAAATCCCTTAACCTTTCCTTCTCCAACATTGGTAGTATTCATACTAACTTCTGCAGTGTTGAATCATTCCTTTTTGGAAAGTCTATGAACATTCTAGCTATCTCTTCTACTGATTTCTTGATTCTTGACTATCTTCCTTTTTTTAAGGAGGACTCTAATGACCACATACATGGCCTGGGAGTTTATCTCTGCAAACATCTCCTGCTGGCTAGGGAACCTACTCTTGAATCTTCGGATCATTGGTACTTGTGTCATTGTCTCCCTCTGCTGAACTCAGTTGTTCTTTCTCTACCATTCCACTTCCTTTCAAGACTGTTGCATGCTTGATAGTATTTGCATTAATATAGACAAGGCCATCTCCTGACACCCGTTTGTAAACATATTCTTGTTGGGAGACTTTAATGCCCATCTACGAGGTGGCTTAAACACTCTGCCACTGACCTCGACGACATCCAAACCCTTAACTTCTCAACCTCTCTGGTTTCCCCAGTAACCCTGACAGAAACACCTCTCTTCTTGATCTCTGTTTTACCTCTATCCCTGACTGTTGTCATACTATGCAGCTCTGCCTTCTTGGCAATTCTGATCCTGCCTTAGTATCTGTAAACTTCTCCTTCTGCTCCTCCCACTGCCATGACCATTCTACCAACAGTATATCTTTCTGCTATTAATGAGCAGATTTGGACTAATTCTGTGATTTGCTTTGAGATGTCCCTTAGAATGTGGTTTTTAATCACCCCATTCAGAAATGTGTGGCAGAGGTCTTCTCCTGAGTGAAAGCTTTCATTCCAGCTAGGAAATACCAAATTAAACCACATTCATCTCCCTAGTTATCTCTTGCTTGCTAAGCCTCTAAATTCCACAGAAATCACTTTTTCGACTGTACCAGGGTGACATGTCTGATTACAACAGACGTCTCTTTGTCTCTGCTTGTAATGAATGCAGGTGTATCCTTAATGCAGCCAGATTACTGTTTGCTGACAGAATGAATCGGCACATAGCATCTAGCAAGTTCAGTTCAAGAGATTATTGGCAGCTCTGCAAGAGAGTGCTGAACGATAGAAAATCCTCAATCCCTCCTCTATTCAACCGATTCAAAGTCCTGACATCTACAACAGACAAGGCTAAATGCTTTGCTTGGAAATTCTCCATCAAACTCAACACTTGACAAATCTGGAATACCCATACCTGATTCCCTGCCTAGAACTGGTGCTCTACTGAGTGATATGTGCATAACCCCATCACTGTTCTCGGATATCATTTCTAAATTAGACCCCCATAAGTGGAGGTGATGGAATACCAGCTGTTGTTCTAAAGAAATATGCTGCTGAGCTGACCCCAGTTCACACCAAACTATATAACTATTGCCTCAATGCTTCCCGCTTTCCAGCTTGTTGGAAGTCCTCCTCTGTCGTCCCTGTTTTTGGGGAACCGTCTGACCCTCTATTGCCCTATCAGTTTCCTACTGCTTTTCAGCAAAGTCTTCGAGGATTTAATCAATGCTGAAATGGTTATGTATCTTACCTCTTGTTATGGGACCTACTTTTATGGACTAAATGGACTCATCCTATTATTATATTATGCCTCTCAAGGGGGCTGCCTCCAGTTGACGAGTTGACTACTGTACTTTGCTGTCAGTCGGACGTGCAACACTTTTGTATTCATTCTTTTTGTTAATAATCTGTTTTCACTAAATTGCTGAGTTTGAGTTTTCTTTTGGACCTATTCTGGGTCCACAAAACCTCTCAAGATATGGATTCTACTTTGCCCAGTCTACTGATGATGTGCTATAACTGAATATATATATCATGCTCTTGATAAGAATGAAGTTCAAGCATTTGACAGGGTTTGGCATGCTGGACTTCTGCATAAGATTCAGGGCTACAATATTACAGCACAACTACTTGACTTATCATTCCTTTCAAATTGTGAAATGAAAGTTGTTCTGAACGGGCATGCTTCCAGATTCTTTCTTATGAATGTGGGGGCCCCCCAAGGCTGCGTTCTATACTGTTTCTGATCTTCTTCAATGATCTTCCTGATGCAGATGACACTACCATTTACTCCTATTTTAATAGTAAACCTAGCAGCACTGACAAAGTCAACCTGGTCACTGCTCTCGAAAGGAACCTATAATTAGTGGTAAACCACAGAGATAATTCCCTGCCCGCCATTAGCATGGTTGATGCTAGACTCCAGGAGAGTGTCTCACTGCACCTTCTTGACCTCATCTTTTGAATGACTTGAAATAGAATAAATACATTGAATCCATAGCTGCATCTGTTGCAAGAAAAGTTGGCTCACTGTGAAATGCCAGAAGGTTTTTCTTGTCCATCCTATATATCTACAAGTCTACCATTCGTCCGTGCATTGAGTACTGTTGCTATATCTGTCCTGGTGCCCAACTGTTCATCTCAAGGTTCTCAACTAAATCCAAAGAAGGATCTGTAATGTAATTGATCCTGACTTGGCATCTCGACTTCAGTCATTCTCTCACAGATGTGATGTGGCTTTCCTCTGTCTTTTCTACAAATATTTTCATGGCAACTGCTCTGACAAGCTTTTTTTTCCAGTGCCCCGACTATATATTTTTAAGAGTGCTACTCGACTATCATATAGGTCAACCCTTTTACCACTGAAATAGTTAAATGTAACCAAAACTTCTACTCCAACAGCTTCTTTTGTTGCACTTCCCACCTATTTAACTCCCTTTCATTTACTTGCTTCCCTGATAACTAAAATCTTCAAAAATTAAAATGCAATGTCAATTGCCATCTTCTGCTGTCTTGAACCCCATTAATCTTTTATCCTTTCCTTACTCCCCCTATATACAGATTTTTCTCTCACCTTCACTATGTAACACCCTCTAAACCAGTGGCACTCCTACCTTGCTTAAAAAAAGAAAAGAAAAAAAATATATAGAAACAAACTGAAATAGATAGATAGATAGAAACAGACTGAGATAGCATGACAGATAGATAAGAATAGATTGAGATTTATAGATATGAACTGACTGAGATACATAGAAACAGACTGAGATAGATATTTAGATATGAACAGACTGATATAGATAAATAGATAGAAACAGACTGAGAATGATAGATATTAACTGACATAAATAAATAGATAGATAGAAACAGACTGAGATAAATAGATAGAAACAGACAGATAGATGAGCGATCGATAGATACAGACTGAAAGTGATAGATAGATACAGACAGACTGAGAGCGATAGATAGATAGATACAGACAGACAGAGTGATCGATAGATAGACTGACCAAGATTGATCATTAGATAGATACAGACAGACAGAGATCGATTGATAGATAGATACAGACAGACTGAGATCGATTGATAGATAGATACAGACAGACTGAGATAGATAAATAGTTAGATAGATAGATAGATAGAAACAGACTGATATAGATAGATGTGTAGTGATGTAATGGATAGCAGCTCAGAATGAGAAATTGGAAAGCTGAGTTCAAATTCCAGTCAATTTTTTTATATTCACTTATGCACTTGGGAAAGTTATGAATCCATCTCTTCTCTTAACTATGAGTTAAACAGCAGAACAGACTGGGCTCTTTAGCCTTGGTTGGCAACTAGTCTAGGAGAAGGAAAACTCAGAATTCACAACCTATTGATAGTTGTTCAGGGAACTCATGGAACATTATGCATACATATGCTTTTCATTCAGTTCTTCTGAAAATTATGGCTGGTTCTACACAAACCTTCTTCACTATAGTCAAGTCAGATGTGTGGATAGCCTGACTGTTCAGTTCTGGGAGGTGAATTCTTGGATCCACATACATTGTACATGACAGGAGATTCCATTATCACAAAGAATACCAAAATACTAGTAAAATCAAATAGTAAAAATGCACTCATGATCCTTGAATCAATAAATAAAAAATACATATATTACAACTTGCCATGTCACAATACTCACCATTTGTTTTTACCTACCCTGAGGATGACTTAAGAAAGTTGAAAGCTTGGATCATATTTCTCCCAAAATAAACTTCTGATGGAATTTACTCCTTGGCTCCGAAAAGGATTATTCATAATTTAAAAAGGCTGATCAGTAAAATTAATCAACACAAAATGTCTGTTGTCTTTATATATATATATAAGTGGACATTGAAGTCACCCAGAGGTGACAGTCTACTGCATGCTGAACACAATTGTCAGGCCTGATGATTGCATTTAGCATGAAACAGTCTGTAATTAACATAACATTTTTGTTAATATTAATTAAGTAATTTTGATAAGTATCATGAATCTTTTATTTATTTATGATGACTATTTCTCTAGATACATACTGAGCTCTCTTAGTGACAAAATTCTGATCACTTTGACATATATTAAATTGCATATTTTTACCTATATCAAGAAGTGTTAAAAGTTTTTCAAGGCATGTTTAATCCATTAATGGTTTAAATTTAAAATTTTTTTTTGCATTAAAAAAAATAAAATACAAAAATTTAATTTTAAATTTCAGCTTTCCCTCTCTTTCATGCATCTGTGTAATCATATCTACATAAGCATCACTTTAGTCTGATGAAGTCCTAAAATGACAAAATTTTTAACAAGAAAAACATTTTTCCACTTTGTCATAGATTTTCCTAAGAAATATATACTGTATATACTCGTGAAACAGATGATTTTGCATATCGTGTGACCCTAAAACTTTCAATTTTAAAAAATGATTTTATCATATGAGTTCCTTTTTCGAGAGACCAAATACAATAGACCAACCTCTTTTCCTCTATCTCTTTAGCCCATCTTTTAGTTAAATAAGCTAAAAATAATTAAAAGAGAATAATAAAAGTATCGTTAGTAACTCTATACTCGTTGTGTTCAGCCATAAACAACCAAACGAGAATCAGCTAAACATCTTATAATCATAAACAATGGAAAAATGCATATTCACTAATTTTGTATTTTATAATATGATACTAATATGTGAATATTAAATTCATTTTTATCGGATACAGTTATGTAAAACAGTTTCAGCAAAATTAGGTTTATTTTAAATACAACTATACTTTTTGACTACAGTAAATGGATATATAGTTTGGTCAATGATGTAGCAAGGGCCAGCAGTACATACACTAATTATATATCTCATGTATGATGTGACCATCTTAAAATTATCTTCAAAATCAACTCTTCAAAAGTCACAAGATACGCAAGTATATCTGATCTATACTTTGGAAAACAAAATGTATATACATTTGTATACATGCAGATGTCTATGTATGAGAGAGTACTGAAAAGTTCTTGATCCAACCAAGGCAGAAATGACTGTGTCATGAAACGTACATAATATTCCACATATTCATTCTGTAGTTCAACATATTTGGCACATAATTTCTGAAGATTCTTTAACTTTTCTTCTAAAATTTGTGACGTTTGGTTATTGAAATGATTCCTTGCTGCCACTATCACCACTGAATCAGATGAAAAGTTCCTCCTTTTAACAATCTTTTTAAGATATGGAAAGAGGAAATAGATGGAATATGATCTGGTGAGTCAGGTGGATGATTTCTGTTTGCAGACCCTAAATTCTTCAAAGCATCCATCGTCTTGCCAGTCTTGCGAGCAGGTGCATTGTCTTACAAACAAAAGAGAATACATTTCTTCAACTTCCCTTGCCATTTTTTTCTTTCAACATCACTTTTAATTGATACAGCAAATAAGAGTCACCCTGCATATTGTTTAGCCCTTTTGAAGATAATCGGTCATCAAAATACCTTTCTTCTAAAAAGAAAAAATGCCCCTCTGATTTTTCCTGGTAACGTTTGGGCAACAATCTGAGTGCTGTCATTACATGGATTGTTTTTTGGTCCATTCCTGGCATAATGATGTTACATCAACAATGGTAAATCATTCTAAAATTGTGGTGAAAAAGAAAGTCACTTACTGAAAAAAAAAAGGCATGTGTGTTCTGTATGATGCTCCAAATATGAAATAACCAAAATAAAAACAAATCAATGGCAGCTGTTGCCATAAATGCATCTCAGATATGCTAATACTGTTTGTCTCCTCCAAGCATCAACCAATGAAAAAATTGTTCCATTGATAAAAGCGGTTGGTATTCTTGAAATGAGAGGTAGTTTACTCTCTTGCTTTGTTTGTTGGCTTGTGAGTTGCCTTGCGCATTGGATTTCTGACCATTTTGTGTATAGGGATTTTTTACATTGAACCTGCAATTTCAGCATTTCTTTCTGGCTCTGGGTCTTTGAGTTTGGACTTGTGATTTGTTTATTTCATTTTGTAATTGGGCTGCCATATCAGTTTCTGAACAAAAATATTACTTCTTCTGTATGCACATTCCCTTCAGGACATAGGCAATCAGGCTCTCTCTCCAAATTCCTATTTTTTGTGACCCTTACTATTTTTTCTCCTTTTGCTAAGGCTCCCACCAACTGTTCTACCATCCATTCACTCAAGCTCATCAGGTAAATGACTTGCTGCCTTCCCCTATCTCTTTTTTCCTCAGTATACTCCACCATGAGGGTGAATATTCCCAAACCTTCCTTCCTCATTATGTGTCCAAGCAATTTTAGCTATCTTTTCCTGATTCTGAGCATGTGTTCTTTTTGTTGTTATTTTCTTTAATAGTTCCTTGTTGCTTACTTGCTTTGTCCATGGAATATCCTGTCAATATCCTTCGGCAGAACCACATTTCTACTGCCTACAGTTTTCTCCTCATCCATTGGGAGATTGCCCAACACTCACTCCAATATAAGAAGATAGGTATCACATAGCAATCGAGCACTCTTTTTTTTTTTGTTTCTAATAAAATTTTTCCATTTCCATTGTAGAAAACCAGAAAATCTTATAGAAATATTCCTTATCTGTCATATTAAATAAAATATGCATAAAAGAATGACTACTGCCCAAATATATATATATATATATATATATATATATATATATATATATATATATATATATATGTATATATTTTATCACTTCAAATTTTATGTTTAGTTGATCTAGTGTGCTGAAAACACAGGATCAGAAGAATAACAGATACAGAAGCTTGGAAACAAGACTCAATCCATAACTTTAAGATTCAAGATGTAAATGGTATAATTTATGTTTACTGATCAACCATTTTAACTTGTCTTTATCAATTGACTTAAGAACAAGAATAAGTCACTGGATGTTTTCATTGATGAAAATTAATGTCTTTGTACAAGTGTACAAACAATCAACAAAGAATTATTTTTCATAAACTTTATCCAGATAGTTGAAGGTGAGTCTTAATAAAATATTTGCAGGCAATCAAAATCATATCTGTTAGTAAAAATCTATAATGGGCATATGGTTGAGTGGTTAGAATATTCCCTTTCCAACCAAGAAATCTAGGTTTGAATTTCACCATGGTTGATTTTTAAGTAAGATATCTTCTTGATGTTATCAGCCTGGGGATCTGATTCCAACATACAGTATCTTTGGAAATGTCTGAAAACAAACAACAGTGTTGAGCAAAATTAGATAGACACAATTGGAGACCATCAATGGTTGTTCTAGCCCAAAGTTACAAGTCATCATGACTGAGGGTTTGAGTGTACTGGCCTTGTTCAAATTTCTGATCATGCCAGATGAGACGCTCTCTCCCAGAAACTGTAACTATAGTTTGTGCAACACAGGTGGAATCTGAGTGCCTGAGCTTGTTTTCACAATATGGATCAGCTAGCCGTACTCTAGCTAGCAGACAGTGTGTTTGGAAACAAGTAGCCAGCCTCTCTCTATATTTATGCGATAAGTTATTGTAACAATTTACACTATTTATATTCTTGGCATATTCACAATGTTTTGCCTGTTGTATTCTCTGTCCTTCTTCAGGTGGCATATGCTAGAATTTCAAACCCAGCTTTTTATTTAGTCCACTGGGGTAGATTGTTCTTGTTTTACATTAAAGAGTTGACTTACTAAAGGGAAATAACCGAAACCGAGATATCTAGAAAGGGCATGGCATGTGGAATTTTTTCAGCCTTATACTTATATGAATAAAAATAAATCATTCTCTACAAACAGTTTAGTTTAAAAGCATTTTAGGTTTTACTTTACACTATCCATATATCTTGGTCAAACATAATAAAAATGCTGTCAAAAAATATGAAACACAGAATTATCATTAATATGTTTGCTAAATTCTAAAATACAAATTGACACTTTCCTAGTTAGATAACAGATTGCATTAACAAAAATTAGATTCTTCTGTTAAATTGAAAAAGAAAAAAATGTTTTGAAAAAGCACAAACTGTTTACAGTAAATATTGTTTTCCTGTGTAAAATAATTATTCATGATGATTAAAAAAAATTAGGATGAAATTTTTAAAAAAATGATTAAAATAAGTTTTATAAATCTTGATAGAATCTTCTGGCTGAATTTTGTGATAAAGATATTCATCAGATAAGAATTTTTCAATCAATTTTTGTTGAAGAATAATATTAAAAAAATAAAATAATCTTATCAGAACAATTCCATTTGCATTTTGTTTCAAATATTTTCCCCTCATAACAAAAATAAAACTCTTAAAATGAATTCCAGAGATACTGCGACAGATAGATTGGTTGATAGCATAATAGAGTGACCATAAATAATTCATATAAATTTGGATATATTTCAAATGAATTTTAAAAAGTTCTATACAAAACATCCACACACATACAAACACATATGCATAAAAACAAATATGTGCTTGTATATATATATATATATATGAACTATTGAAGCTGAAATGAAAATTTTTCTGTAAATTTGTACAAAGATGAGTATTCATAAATATCTATATAATTTTTAAAAATCTTTTGATGTGTAGTCATATCAGAATTATATCTACACATTTTTTCTTTTATTTTATCTCAAATGTCGCTTCTTTTGAGCAGACTTTTATTAGCCATGACAACTTAGATTTTTTTTTGTTTTTTTAATGTTTCTTTATAGAATTCAACAAATAACTAAATATTCACCCAAATATAATGGAATATATACATTTGAATGTAAAATTATATATCTTCAGATAAAAAATAATTTATCTCTTTTTTTTTTTTTCTTCAAGATTAATTTCATTACACTCTTTTGTTTGGTGAGATATTTTAAAAAAAAAAAGAAAATGAATGTTGATGATAACTCTCTTTCTATATATATATATATATATATATATATATGCACACACACACACATACATATATATATATATGTGTGTATGTATGTATATTCAAAAGTTTATTGAATTATTATTCATTTGTTGAAGATTATAATCATAATATAAACAATTCATTGTGGGTTCAGATGGAAAAAATATTGAATATGAAAATATATTACAAAATAATCTAAATATGCACAAAGCCAACAGCCAAAATTCTACTTGCAAATACAAATGATCTTAAAAGTGGCAAGCTAAATTTGAAACTGACAAAATATATATTGGTAAAGAGATTTAATATATTGATATGTATACAAGATATCAATCATACTCAGTTTAAATAAAAATGGCCCTTTTTTTTAAGTTCATTTCTGCTCTGTTGATCCTTGCTAGCATATTACAAAAAAATGTCCACCCATCATAAATGTTAAACCATAGTACATAAAACCTCAGGTAATACTGGGTGATGTAAGTAAAAGCTAGCCTCTCATAAAGCACAGTTCAAAAGAAATATTTTAAGTTCTTTGCTAAGACTTATTTTCTTGCACTTCTTGCCTGTGGAACCCTCTTTCAACTTCTTGCTTGCCAGCTAACTTTGATCTTCAAAGCTATAAATGTAATGTTAATCATTATCTATTGTCTTCTTGATTCCACATTTTCTGTTCTTGTTCCTTAATAATATTTTTCTAACCCTTGTGTCTTAGTGGCTTTATTGCTTTGCTTGGAGTGAAATGATTAAAAAAAAAAAAGGACTAAATTAAGAAATAAGAATTATGACTTAAATAGTTCCAGCTAATGCGAGTGTACAAATTACATGACATGATGGCTGGTTTCAAATCTATGATTCTAAAGGTTAAACATTATATATTGATAACTTAACTATTAAACATCTAGCTGTTTATGTAACCTTGATGTAAAGGTAAGATCTATTAAATAAATATATAAAAACGTTCAGGGTAATAAAGGGTTAATCATCAATTGTAAGAAAACAAAATGTATGGTTGTTAGCAAGAGGGACTGCCAAAGATACAAGTTACAAGCTGGAGATGTTAAAGAAAAGTAAATGGAAAAATTTTAGTATTTAGGAATGGTTTGGTTTGGATTGTTTTATGGCATATCAACCTCAATGGGTTATTTAATGCCAACAAGATCTTTATTGCTGGTAATAATTTTTCCTTCAAAAATGTAATGCTGGTATTTTTTTTTTTAAATGTATAGCAGGTAATTTTTTTAAAAAATTTATTGCTGCTAATAATTTTTTTTCAAAATATTTCTTGTATTAAAATCTATTTTTACACTTTCATAGTGTTTTGACCCTAGTTTAGGGGTTGACTGTTTGCCCAAAGCTGGAATCCTAACAGGTGCTACCATCCCGGGTCAGGGTGGACCTGGGAACACCAGCAAATTAAGAGGTAGTTCCATGCTCCCCAAGACCTCCTGCTGTTGGATGTAGTTTATCGTCTTACCCAGGACATGGATTTAGTTTTGATCAATTCTGATCAATATAATTTCTGTTTGAAATACACTACAGAGTATTTTGCTTACTGGAAAAAGTAAATTTTAAATCCTTTAGCTTTCAAAAGCTAAAATGAAAGCCCCAAGAAAGATTTTTCATATTTAAAAATTTATTTTAAACCAAACATATACTGAATTACCTATTAGGCAGTACCTATTCTTAAGCATGTTTATTTGCAATGATCTGTTCTGATTTTTAAATTTGGTTCATTGTGTTGTGCTGGACAATTTTTCTCTCCTGAATCTATCTTGCATATCTATAAGTCTATCATTCATCCATGCTTTGAATATTGCTGCCACTTATGGTCCAGTACTCCTGTTGTATATTTAGAGGTTCTTGATAAAATCCAAAGAAGAATTTGTAATATTATCAATCTTGACCTGGCATCTCTGCTTAATTCACTTTCCCATCATCGCCTTTTCTATAAATACTTTCATGGTAATTGTTCTGATGAACTTCCCTCTATGAATTTAATTGCAGTAATAGATTGGTGGCATGGTCACATCAATTTGCTTTTGAATTGTGTTGATGTAACGGTAACTTATATACTAACAGTTTCTTTTATTGCATTTCTCATTTGTGGAACTCTCTTTTGGTTCCATGGTTTCCAGCTAACTTTGATCTTCAAAAACTTAAATGCAATGTTACTTGTTATCTACTGTCTTCTTGGTTATTTGTCTATTGTTCTCACTCCTTAATAATATTTCTATTTTTTTCTTAGGCTTTCACATTCAGTAAGTGCTTGTGTCTTAATGGCTTTACTGCCTTGCATGGAGTAATATGATAAAAAAAAATACAATAAGTTCCAGAAATGTCCATATTTGAAGTTGTTACATGAAACAAAAAAAAAACTTTCAAGAAAGTTCTCAGCACTCTCTTTTGAAAACTAGATGCAGACTACACAGCTGAAAACCTATTTTTCACTATCAACTTTTGCATACACTTTATCTGTCTCTCTTTCCTAAATATTTAATGAATCATGAAATGGTCAGTTTTAGCATTAAGCATAATAAAAACATTATAGGACAGTCAGTAATTTAAATGACTATATAAAAATATATCTGATATTTGTATGAAAAAGTTTCCAGTACACCTATTCTGAAAACTAGGCACTGAATAGAGTGTGAAAAACTGTAGGAACATTAAATAAAATCAATAAATAAAAAAATAATAATGAATAATAATAAAAGAGAAAAAGAAATATATTTTCCTATGATGTTAAGAGTAAAGGAACCAAAAATATGATTATCCCACTTGGTTTTCTCAAACGCCGTTGAAGTCTGTAAAAAGACAAACATTTTCTTGATATAAATGCTTTATCTCCTTTTCTCCAAGACATAGAACCACATGGTAATTATGTTCCTACTAAGGAAAGGTATTTGCCCATGTCTTCCAAAAACCTCCAGCTATGAAGTAAGTCAAGCTTTCTCTTTAGTTTTTCCAATGTAACTGTTATAGTGGAACACACCTATTCTATAGTTAATAGACTCTCCCACCTATAATAAGTAGCAGTAGTAGTAATAGTCGCTCAGGGAGTTGGTCAGTTAGTCGATGCCGAACGACCGTTAGTCGGATATTAAAGTATCAGCCACCACAACTAGTTTTCTCTGTGTCATTACCTATTATATCAAGTTCCTAACGTTTTGTACGTCGAACCTATTTAAGGACCGACTTAGTACAAATACAAGCCTCCACTGTGAAACTACTCTACAACATTAACACAAGGCTGACTTGAGTGCAAACATTGTAACGATGTATATATTTACTTGACCAAGAAAAAGAAAACAAACATCTGATAATCTTGCAACAATAAAGTAAGTACAAACTTTTCTTTAGTTGTTCCAACTCTGCACAAGGCTTACTTCAGCTTAACCATTAATATGATGCTTGTACTTACTTACTGAACTTCTTACAAAATAAAACAGACATACCCAAGAGACATTGAGAATTTTTTTCATTACAGTAACCATAAAAAGAATAAATTATCTCTGACAGAAACTGAAGTTTTTATATGCATCTTCTTTGTTTACTATATACGAACATGCACACACCTAAAAAAAGAAAACATGCAAATCTTTGTAACCTCCATAAAATTAAAATGTTTCAATAGAAACTTATGTACACACCAAAGAAATAAAAAAGCTAATATTCAATATAATTCATTATTTCATACAAACTCAATTCCCTGATTCATATATGAAATGTGTATACAAATGTAAAAATATTTGGAGGCATAGATATTATTTAAAAGTAAAATAGAAATCACTGGAATGTCATTTTATTAATTTTTGATAAATATTTCTTTCATCTTATTTCTGTTGCTTTTTATTTATGATTGTCAGATCTATAGACATTAAATAAGCAGTATAGGTTGAAAATAAAGAACAAATCTTTGAATAAAAAAAAATTTCTATCAGCTTTTAAATTTGTTCAGTATCATGACAAATTGAATATACATCAGATCTTTTAAATATTACATCAACATATATGCCAACATTTTGATTCCAAGTTTTGATTTTTTTTTATTATTATTAGAAGACAGAGAAATAGCTGAAAAAAATTTAAATTTATCAAAGAATTTTCTGTTTCAAAAATTCCAAAAACCAGAGAAATGTAACTAAAATAAGATAAAAAAAAAAAAACAAGTTAAAAATGAATAATTATGACATGGGTTAATCTAAGAAAGTTGTAGGCTATAACATTATTTCATTACTTTGAAAACATTTAGAGCTTAATTTTTTTTAATCGTTTCACCCCAAGCAAGGCAGGACTACTAGTATGCAGGGGGTTACAGAGCAGAGTGTGAAGGTGAGAGAAAAGACTGGATATAGGGAGACTGAAGAAAGGATAAAACCTTTCAAGAAGATAAAAGATGGCGATTGACATTGCATTTAAATTCTTGAAGACTGCAGTTATCAGGATAGCAAGGAAACAGAAGGGAGTT